TTCGCTCAATGAAATCAAATGCAAACGCATGCAAGTCAATTTCGGGTGACGCAAAAAAACAAATTCGACGGCATGCGTACCAAAACGCAAGCCGCGAATATTAGGTTAGCCTGTTACAGTACTACAAGTATACAGAGAGTAGATTTGCTACTCCCTTTTGGCAGCAGCAAATATCTCTCGTACGCGATGAGAGAAAGTAGAGTACCCATGAACCAACGACTACAGATCACGTAATCCGCCATCGTTGTATTTGTAATCGATTTTCAGAAAAAAGTTTTCGTAGCGTTTTTGATGTCTTTTGGTTCTGTTTACATCGTCTTCTACCTCTTCGTAGTGATATTTTAGCGATTTTATGTGTTTTCTGCAGCAGTTTTAATTAGAAATTTTGATTTATTACAAATTTATGATATAATATGAAGTGCTTTGTGATTGGAACAAGTTTGTGCGTCTGTTTGATTTGCCAAGAGGCTTAAATTTGCGTGAAAAGTGGGTGCACATTTGTGGTCAGAACGTTGGCATTGAAAAATCGGCCGGTGCCGATAATATGCGATTGTAAAACACTCTCAATCATTAACACCATATTTTATGAATTTTTTTTGCTAATTGTCATCAAGTTTCACTTTTTATATTTTATAATAAATACCAATCTAATCGCACTCAATAGCCGCGCCTTTTTCGTTTTCTTTGTTTGTTTTCATTTTTAGGCAGATGTCAAAAACGCTCAGAAATTTACTTTTTTCATTCTTTTCCGATTGCGTGATCTTGTTAGTTGGTTCATGTAGAGTACCTACTTTGGTGGAGTAATAGCAAGTACGTCAAGTATTTACTCTCTCAACGCCAAGTAGTGTATGTATGCGGAAAAAGAGTAACAATTTGTTAGGAGTAGAGTACAATGCAAGGAGTACTTATTGAACGAAATGCGGCAAATAAACTTGCGCTGGACTTTAATACATACATACGTATACTAGTTTTGAGAATTACTTCAATATTTCAAGAATTTTTATTGCATTCGCATCTTATATGCACATATACTACATATGGACAGAAACGAATACCTCATAAACCACGTAATTCAATGAAGGATATGTTTTTATACCCGAGCGCACTTGTGCACAAGGGTATTATAACTTTGTTCACATAACGGTTGTTTGTAACAGCCAAAACGAATCGAGATAGATATAGGCCAATGTATACATAAATGATCAGAATGAAAAGAGAAGTCGATTAAGCCATGTCTGTCTGTCCGTCCGTCCGTCCGCGTACTTCAGAGGTTGCCAAACTTTTTTTCTAGTAGACCCCTTTCAAAAATTTACTGGTCTCGGTGGACCCCCTGCTGATACATTTCTAAATATTCCCAAAGCCCGTAAAAAAATTAAATGTGAAAATTAGATCCAACAATGTAAATTTGTATCGTGGGTGAATTCAAAAACTAAACAGAGTGGCCAAAATAAAAGTAAAATATTTTCTTGTGTTCTATTTATAAAAATAATGTGATTACACACTTGTAGATTTTAAAAAATAGAGCTCGTAAATACATCAAAATACTCTCTCGCTCGGAAGTTATATTTTTTACGAGCACTGCGATCGCTAGCGTTATTTACATTATCTTCACCATGATACAATAATTTTTAGAAGGTAGTTTCACTTCTTCTTCTTATCCGCCATGTTAGCTATCTGACAGAAAACGTGTTTCGTATTTTTTGTTGTACCAACTTAAAAAAAAAAAAAATCCAGCTTTTGACGTTGGAAAAATAAAACAAAGAAAAGCCAAACATATAAGTAGAGAAATTTTCGAATATTTTGTAATAATTTTCTTCATAAAAAATTAACTGCTGCTTTCGTGGATATTGCAACACACGGAATAGATGTAAGGACACAGCTATAAGAGCCACCGCACACCACAGACTTTATCGGCCGCCTATTTAAATGATAGGGCTCGCTTGAAATATGTACATGAAGATGTATGGAGGTGCGCACATTACACCAGCTTAATCGCTCTGACCAATAAGTTGTGGTGCAATGGAAAGACTAGCGAGCACATCTAAATTGGCGGCCGATAAAATCCGTGGTGTGCAATGGATCTAATCCATTATAAACAAGAAATATTGCTGTTATATTTTCATTTTTATGATTTTTATTCATGTGATTAGCAGTGGCAAAAATGTATGTATAAAATACGTACATTTATATTAAAAATTAAGTGATCAGTTATGAAACATATAAATCTTTACATGTTCTTTTAAAAAATATCTAAAATAACAAGCGATAATCCCCAAGTTCTATATCGTAGCAGTGGCCACATTGCGTGTTTGTCACAGACACGGTTTATGTCAAAAATTGTGAAGTGAAACTACCTTCTAAAAATTATTGTATCCAAGGTGTATTAAACAAGGTGTGATTGACAATTCAGTGCGGCTCTCTTTTAAGGTACTATTATGTCAAAAAGTATAAACAAACGAATTAACCCTTAGTTTTGCATGTATCTTGTCAGCACTGATGCGCTAGGCTTTTATTTCGATTATAGTTTTGTTTTACTTACATTACCTGGAATATATATATTTTGTCAATAAATTAAACAAATTGTTTATGAAATAGTTTTAGCAATTTTCTTGTTTTTAATTGCCCAAGTTTTATGCTTTTGTGCGTTTATTTTTATATTTCAATTTTTTATTCTAAACATTATTCGACACTTATAAAAGTAGGATTTTACATTTGTTTCCAATTTTATATGTGAGCTTAACTGTAACAATTTTGAAATAAAATTTTTTTCATGCGAAATAGTTTTCCATTAAAGACTTTGCTTCGAGCAGTTTTAAATTAAGCTCTTCCATACTTGCTTGCATGGTTTTAATTATTTCGGTAAGAAGAGATATTTCTGTTCTCAACGTGCATTCTAAAGAGTCGCCTGTTTGAGTTTGGACGTCAACAAATAATGTATCCGGATCGCGTTCTAAATCCTCACTTGTTTCAGTTGTTTCGTATGGCATTGGGACTGCGCCTGGGTATAAACGAGCTCGTTTGGAAGTGCTTGATTCGGACGGACAACTAATGAAATCACTTTCCTTGAAGTGGTTTTCACAAACGCGAGATGAATCACGTAGTACAACACCACAGCTTTCTTCCCATCGCTGCCGTCTTAATTCGCAACTAGGTGGTTTAAAACATCGCGCTATTTGCGTGTCCTGACTTGTATTGCATACAGCGCACCGTTCAAACGTTTTGCTCCGTTTCATCTTGGTTTCCTTACATTAAATATTTAAGAAAAGTCTAACGTATTTACTTATTACCCAACTTTAAATGTACTTACTGGCTCTCCTCGGCGGTTTATCTCTTAACAATTTCATGTTTATTAAGAAAATTTGTTGCTTGAAAAATGTATGTGTAACTTTTTTTTTAAACAAATTCAAATTTGAAAAAAAAAAAATTCAAATGGGTTAAGAATTCATTTCAGTTTGACATTATAGCCTGTTTCTTATGAGAGCAATGTCAAAATCAATCACTCTTTGTTGAATACATTTTGATTGTATCATGATCTTCACCATAAACTCATCAAATGTTCGCCTCTCTCATGACTTTGCACGTGGAGTATATGTAAAGTGGTTTATTTTTGTTATTGCCATCATTTTTATGCTTTTCGCTCCGAGTTTTAAAGTGAGGGGAAAAATGTTTGTCACATTTTTAAAACACAAAACTTAAAATATCAAAACGGCTAAGCTTTTTACGCCAAACTTTTAATTCAGAAACTGACACTAGAGGTAATAACGAGTTTAAAAAAGTCGATGGCAAATAAACAAGCAAGCAAGAAGCACAAAAAGTGTTCCACCGTCTCATCTTCTTCAAGGCAAGATTGGCAAATGGACTTGTCATTTACGCCTATCGCAGTCAGGTGTTTGTTCCACGTAGTGACCAGTCAGCAGCCCAGCAAGTTGTCTGCAGGGTCGTCTGCTCAGTGAGAGCAAACAATTAGATAAACCTTGTGAGATTGAAGGCAACAACGAGGAATGCCTAGTCTGAGCCAACTCTGGCCAAATGTCTCCTAACCAGGTACTCCAGGGTGACCTGGCACCCAGAGTAAAAGAACCTCGTTATCTTCACCATCATATTTTAGTCGAGACTTGCATTGCCGAACTAGTTCGGAAGTACTTAAATAGAGGGCTGGTCAATGCCTTAAGTGCAGCTTGGTTGTCACTGCAGTCACGTAAACTCCTTCCCCTCCACCTATGTTCCACCCTTAGCCCATGGCTTTGAGTAGTGCAATTACCACAGCCTGGAAGACCGAAGCATATTCCCCTACAGAAAAGTGACTTATCTCCATTAAACTCGAAAAATACGCCAGATCATGACCCATAGTCAATTTTGGAGTCATCAGTGAAGAATCGACAATGTGTGAGTCCGGTCTCAGCGGTAGAATCAAACCAGCATTCAGTCTCAGGGAACTCAACATTATAGAACCCCTTCAACAAAGCTAATAGTGGCGTACCTGTATCCTGTAGCATTAAAAAGACACAAGTGCTTAAATCTCCGCCGCCAGTAATTTTCGTCGCGCCCCACTCATTGTCATACCAGCATCCGGTTCTTTTTAGTCTACAGGAAAAACACTAACTGACGGTAAGTGCAGCAGTGCCTCAAGAGCACTATACAACAACTAAAAAAATTAAAGTTAAATAAAGAGGCTATCAAGCAACCATTTTGGTTCTTTACATCGAAACCAGATAAAGCTTCGTGGACCCCTATTTACAACTCATGGACCCCCATATTTTTTTCACATCACCGTGGACCCCCGTCGAGTCTTCCGTGGACTCCTGGGGGTTCCCACCTGAACCACTCGAGCAAAAATTAAGATATCTCAAGGGAATTTGGTATGTAGATTGCCCTTTACTCAAGGTAGTTTGGTATTGAAAATGGGCGAAATCGGACCGTAACCACGCCTACTTCCTATATAACGGTAGTTTTCAGAAAAACGAAAACTACGGTATTTTAGTAACTGCTGAAGCTTATTCGCAGTACACCAGTAGAAAAGGTTTTTATTTTTGTAAAAAAAAGAAATTGAGCGCATGGTTGCTTTTGCATGCCAAAAGAACGAATATTAGAAAACATTGAAAAAAAGTCAGAGATAATACAATTATATTCTACTAAAAATAAACACAATAGTGTGCGCTAATTAGATAATGTGATAATCATGTTTAAAAATTTTTTTCAACCCTTTTTTTCAGAAAATAATGTTGCGGATCGGATTGCTCTGAGCGCTTGTCTTGGTTACCAAGAAAATGCAGCCCTGTTGGTTTTTATATCTGTATCGCATCGCGGTGAGTTTCTATTTCTTGGTAATTCGGTTTGTGAAATGGTAAACAAATTATTTAAATTTATTGGTTGGATGTAGGCCTGTGCGATTATTCGATTACTCGAGCAAGTTGGTTAATCAATTATTCGGTTAATCAATTACTCGAGTAATCAAGATTTCGATTACTCAAAACGATGATTAATCGAGTTACTTGAAATATGATTACTCAAAAAATATAATTTTGCTCGTTAATAGAGTTTGCTTTGGAAAATGCTTATTTTCTTTTTTACATTCTGTATATGAAAAAAATGTTTTGTTTTAATTTTTGAAAACAGAAACGTTGTTTTCAAAGTATCAAGGAACTTTAACTACTTTATAAATATGCAAAGAGTTGAAATGTTGATTACTCATTTTACTCGAAATGTTGATTAATCATAAAGCATTTTACTCAAATATTTTTGTTTTTGGTTAATCAAAAATCTTGATTACTCGAGTAACTGAACTTTCGAGTAATCATAATTTCCAATTAATCGAATAATTGAGTTATTTACTTTATGATTAATTAAAATTTTGAGTAATCAATTAATCGCACAGCCCTAGTTGGATGTGTTTAACATTTGTTTAAGGATATTTTCTTTCTTTTCAGACTATTAATTACAAGCACAGAATCATCAACGGTGATTGCAAGGAGAACTACTGCAATCCCTGCGATTTTTCCTCTGGTCGTGACCGAGGGTGGTCTCCAAAATCATAGGACATGTCATAATTGCAGGCTATTGTTGCAGAACAAAACGTCGCAACCACTGCTGTGGTAAATATTTACCAGCAGTACTGCCCACCGCCGTCGGTGCAACGATTTCGATAGCTGAACAAACGCCAGGAGGGGCATTCCCACAGCTTGCCGACACCAGCTATTATATCACGTGTGAATGCAACTGCGGCTAAATTTGGTTATTATCAGTGCCATAGTGCCATGTCATTGGCAAAAACACTAAAGGCTGTTGGCACATACAGGTTGTAAAGTCTTTGGTATGGATGAACTTACTCGAAGAAGACAATGGCCGAAAACATATGATGAAACATCTTCTGGTATGCCTTTCGTTAAGTTAGACGGAGGCTTCACATACAATATTTCACACATTCGTTAGCGGACAGAGCACACAATTACAAAATATTTATCGTACTGCAGAACATGCATGGATATTCAATTCCGATTTTATGGGTCGATTACGGAGGACAACCGAACTTCAGTTGGTTGGCCGGCGGCTGAAATGGTATAACCGATGGCAACTGAGTTGCTATATTGGCAACTGCATTTTTGTGGCTGCCGGAAAATTTTGATTGAGATACTTTATTTCTCTTTTAATTTTTTTTTTTTTAATTTGTATCACCTTGAACTTTATGAAACTTAATTCATAATAAAAAACATTTTCATTTCAGTGGGGCTGTCCATCGATAACCCAACTGAGATTCCATTGCCATCCATAGTCGATCTATAAGTCATAATCGCACGAACTAATTAAGGCTATCACAGAATCCATCGTAGTTCGATTTTTCGTGAAATCTATTGATCGCTTTTTCGTAGATTTTATGAAAAATCGGACTACGATGGATTCCGTGATAGCCACCAATATGTATTCTCCTTTGACAAGATGTTGGAGAATCGTGGCAACACAGCCGTATACCTACTCTGTGCTTTTACGCGCATATGCTAAATTTATCGCACCTAGCTAAAGTGCTTGACAAAGCCTTCTTCAACATTATAACTTAAAGTAAAAAAGGTTAAGGCATGCAATAAAAGAATACAACAGAACCAAAAATATTCTCAAAACTATTATACATAAAAAATTGAACGAATAAAATTCATTATTTAAAATAAAATAAAATATCGCAATTGTTTTTATATGTACATATTTACAAAATGAATCTTAAAGCACCCACATAAGTCCTAAACCTATAAATGGCTAATAAGAAAAATAATAAACAACAGAAATGTGAACAAGTATGTCGAGAAATCTCTAAATAGTAGCGTAACTGTATCTCAATAATAACAAGTAATTTTAAGCAAGAAATACAACCGACTTCAATGCGCATTCAGGTCGTTCTGGTTACGTGCCCGACTGTCCTCCCCTTTTTTAAAATCATAAAAAAAATGAATAAGTATTCTACAGAAAAAAATAAAGATAAATTTTTAAAGATTTTAAGTAAAAATAAATAAAGGAAAACTTGTTCGTGATATCTCGACCAAGGTGTATTCATTATACAAAAATTTGAAGGTACAACCGCTGAGAGGCAGCCTGAACATTTTTGAAGCTCGCTAACAACAAAAATATTTTCAAATTTTCAATCTCACAAATACATTCTCATTTTCAGTCGCAAATAAAATAAAATTTCAATATTTTCATCTATTTGTATTTTTTTACTTTTATTTGGCATTTGAGTTGCTCAAAAAAATTTCAATTTCATACAGCAGACAAACTTCAAAAAATAAATCATAGCCGACGAACATGGTGAAATAATAACAAGGTGTTGTCAGTAGCGACGTCTTTGTTGTAATTTTGACAAGATCGGCATGCTTATTTTCAGTGCTGCCGATCTTAATTTTTTATAATGCTATTAGTTGGGAAATTGTATTTAAAATACTCCATTTTAGTATTTCATTTTATCGTGATTTTTAAAGAACTTGGTGTTTTCAGAACGATATTAATATTTAAAATTGCTGGATTTGTATAATTTTTGTCCTCAAAATATAAAATATATCGTAGTTATCAATGGAAAAAGACGTACACAAAAATCGAATGGAAAGGCGATTTTTTTATATTAAATATCTTTTGCTGCATTGCCATAATATCGAGCCAAATGGACTTCTGATACACTAGAATAGAGCGGCAGCATGGTTAAATTACGACTTCGCTTATATTATCGATATTTATGTGTATTAATCTATATGTCAGCCGCTGTGGCGTAGTGGTAAGCAGTGCGCGCTCCACTCCGCAGCAGCTGGGTTCAAGCCCTGGTCAAAGCAACATAGCGAAAAATATAGAAAAAAGGTTTTTTCTTAACAGCGGTCGTCCCTCGGCAGGCAATGGCAAACATCCGAGTGTATTACTGCCATGAAAAACAGCTTCTCATAAAAATGCAATCGCCGTTCGGAGTCGGCGTAAAACTGTAGGTCCCTCCGCTTTGTTTGACAACATCAAGGCGCACGCCGCAAGTCGGAGGAGAAGCTCGGCCACACACTAACATATGTGTAAGCGCCAATCTATTATAATTATTACTTATCTATTTAAAAAATCATTTACAGTTTTATAGGAAATTGCCTTATTTTACGGCCTGTACTTTTTTAAAAGTTACAATATATGTGCAACCTGTGTGGAGCTTACGATACAAACATATATTCAGGCTTATAAGCCTGTAATTAAACATTTTTCTACATTTAATTTGAAATAGTATGCACGAACGGATTAAAGGTGGTAAATAATTAGTACTTTTTCTACTACTTTAAAATGCGTGACCGGAATAGACCTGCCGAAAAAGTGGGGTTAAGTTACTGACAACACCTTGTTATTATTACACCATGGCCGACGAATTGAGCAAGGGGTTTTACCTTTAAATATTTGTATCATTAGTGTATTAAACAAGGTGTTATTCACAACTCAGTGCGGCTCTCTTTTCAGGTACTATTATGTCAAAAAATATAAACAAACGATTCAAAGTGCATACACATTTTTTTCAATTTGACTTTATAGGATGGTTCTTCTGATAGCAATGTCAAATTCAATCACACTTTGTTAAATACATTTTGATCTCTACCAAATAATATACATCCTCTGTAAATATTTTATTAAGTGTTCCAATATTCGCTCCGAGCGCGTTCACTGTTGATCATTTGATTTAAATAGTTTGTCAAACAATGAATGCTATGGTTTGATCGGAGTTAATATATTCTTCAGTAATTAATGACATTATATTAAAACATAAGCTTATGAGAAATTGTTTAGTCTTAATATGCTTAGTTCGCTCCGTGTTCCAAAATACGCTCCGAGTGCGTTCAATATTGATCATTTGATTTAAATAATTGTTTCTCAAGCATTCAGTACTATAATTTGATCGGAGTTTATATATTCTTGAGTAATTGATCCCATTTTATTAAAATATAAACTTATAATAGGGTAGAAATTGTGAAATTATTTAGTTTTAACGGGTATAGTCTGCTAGAGACAATTGAAGAAAACTGCAACTACTCGAGAAAACATACATTAAAAGCAATGTACATGAAGGTAGTAAATATTATTATTAAAATTAGATCCACATAAATAACATCTTACACCTATTATTTGAAGTAAATCGGAATATATTTTTGCATATGACATAGTTTTCATATAACTCATAAAGTACATATTTCATCACAAATATTTTTAAGATCACTTCGAATTGTAAAAATAGCGCTAATTAGTTTTATTGAAGTATAAAATATTTAATTACGTTCATGTTTACTTATAAACCGCATAACAATATTTCTCTCGCCATTTAACCGATGTTAAAATTTTTCACCACGTTATCTTGCTGCACAGCGCCCTGAATGCGGCAAAACAGTTGCTCGCAACCCTTAAATCCTTTATGGGAACCAAAATAACAGCCTCAACAACAAAAACCTTTTCTACTGGTATACTGTGGCTTATTCACTGAAAATTGATATTTGCAATGATTTTTAGACGTAAAATAAGAATATTATAGATTTTTGGAAAATGGGCGCCCACTTATGATTACATGTGTATATCTTGGTAACCGCTACACCAATTTCTCCCAAACTTGGCACAGTTGTTTGCCTTGGTACAACGTAGAAAACGGCTTAAAATTTTTAAAATCGGACGATAACCACGCCCACATCCCTTATAACGGTAATTTAGAGAAATACGAAATCTTCGATAAATCAGTAAATACAGAAGCTAATTTATTCAAAATTGATGTTTACAGTAAGTCTTTAACAAAAACACGTTTGTGATAAAATTTCGGAAAATGGGCGTGGCACCGCCCGCTTATGACCAGGTATACATATCTCGGTAACCTTCAATATTTCGAAATTAATAGGGCATTCGCACGAGGCGATTTTACAGGCAACAAAAGTTGAATGAGAGGTTGAAAGTGAAAAAGTTGCCATCCCTATTCAGACGATGCGATTTTCGATTCAACACGAATTGTTATTTACATTATTGAAAATGAATTTAAATCGCAAAATTTTATCAATTGGCGTAAATTTGGTAAGCCAAGCGTTGGTAGAAGTGCTTTTAGCGAAGCTAAAAGTAAAAAAGAAAAAAAGTATGTATACAGAATGTTAACAAACACAGGGTTGCAAGGAAAAAAGTTTAACGAGCTCAAAGTTGGCTGGCGACCAACTTTGTTGAAAGCAATTAGTAGAAAGGCCGTTCGGACGAGGCGATTTTTGCTTTCAACTAAAAGTTGCCTGAAAAATCGCCTCGTGCGAAAGCCCTATTAGGGAAGCTAATTTGCACAAAATTGATACTAACAACCCAGCAAACACTGTTTCAAACGTTTGAGAAAAATCTATTTCTCGATTTGATATCAAATGTTTTTCTCAAATGATTCTAAAATTGAAATCGTGGTTTACATTCTACGTTTGAAATTCATTTGAGATTGATTTGAAGAAACATGGTAAGGTTATAATTATCGATACATTTTGCTAAGAATTGTTCATCTCTAAAATTAGTGTCAAACGATTTGGAAGTGCGCAGTTAAAAAAAATTGTGAGAATAAAATTAAATTCAATTGCAAAACAAAATAACAATGAGTAGAAAAAAAGTTAAAAGAGAAAGTGCGCAAATAGTGAATTTCATGTTTGCGCGGGGTGAAGATAACCTGCCGGAACTCGGAGCTACAGCCCTTCAAGACGAATTTATTAGTGGTGAAAACTCGGTGGCTTCTTTTTCGTGTCTTGAAGACAGCAATGAAGACAGCGAAACTGATAACTGTGACTCCGATGACTCTGGATCTAATTCTATATGCGGGCTCCGCGAGAAATTGACGAATTGGACAATTAAGCATAACGTCACGAATACTGCGACAGACGACTTACTTAAGGTCTTCCAGGTCTTCCTTTATGTGCTAGGACGTTAAAAAATACTCCCAAAGAAACACAGAGAATAGCAATGGGCACGGGGGAGTACATACATTATGGAGTTGAAGATGCTCTGACGGATTTTCTACTACAAAATCATTTTACTGCAAATAGTTTAAATTTAAACATTAATGTTGACGGGCTTCCTCTAACCAAAAGCTCGAGTCTTCAGATATGGCCAATTTTGATAAACGTTGATGGATCAGATGACGTTAGAGTTGTAGGAGCTTACAGCGGAAACAGTAAATCATCCAATGCTAATGAATTCCTTGAAAAATTTGTGGACGAATTGAAGGCTTTAAATGAAAATGGCTTATTTTTTTAAGGAAAAGCATTACACTGTTGCATGTCGAGCATTTATATGCGATGCACCTGCAAGAGCATTTGGTTTAGGTATAAAAGGTCATTCTGGCTATAATAGTTATTTAAAGTGTACTCAAAGAGGTAAATCAAAATACCACAAGATTATTTTTGCAAAAGAAAATAATGCTGATAGGACGTTAATATGGATCAAACAGCTATAGGAAGACTACCAATTGATATAGTGAAGTCATTCGGGCATATAGTTTGTCTGGGAGTGACAAAGACTTTGTTACTGGCGTGGATAAAAAAAGAGAAATAAGCCCTACTCTCTTCGACTTGACAAAATTCAGTTACTGGACTCCAAACTTAGTTTTTTATATAATCAAATTCCAAAGGACTTTGCCAGGCGGCCTCGATCCTTAAAATATGTTGAACGTTTTAAAGCTACATAATTCAGAGCATTTTTGCTTTACACAGGCATATTTATATTAAAAGATGTTTTGGATCCAATTAGGTATACTCATTTTTTGCTTTTTAGTTTAGGAATTAGAATTCTTTTAAGTCCGAAACACTACATTAAATATAATAATTGTGCAAATGTAATGTTAAACAAGTTTTATAGAAAATATGTCCGAGTGTTATGTAGAATCATTCTTGACTTTCAACTTCCACTGTTCGACACATTTGACTAGTGATACCTTACATTTCGGTTGTTTAGATACTTTTAGTGCGTTTAAATTTGAGAATTATTTGTCGAAATTAAAACGAAAAATAAGAAAGCATGATCATGTTGCTGCACAGGCGTACAACCGATTAGTCAAAGATAGCTTAAACCGACAGAAGCATTCCACTTCAATAAATGAACTACAAAGAGGACGTTTTAGTAATGGAACTTTTTCCTTTTTAAGGACATCCAATTTTTTTTCTCACCAAAAGAACCTGACAACTTCTACATCGTTGAAAACAGAATATATAAGATAGTAACTATCCAGGGAAACCATAATATTAATTTTGAAGTTGTAGATGTTTTGAATTTACAAAACTTTTTTAATACGCCCATACAATCTGGTAATCTTAATATTAAATGTTGTAATGTATTAAATTTTTCCACGACCAAAGTCCAACCTTCATTAGAGGAAATATCCGAAAAAATTATTAAGTTCCAAAATTTTGAAGGCAATATTAATTTCTTCATTCCTTTCCTATATTCATCTTCGATTTAAAAAGACCAACTTAAGTAATACAACAACATAATACATACAAAAGTAATACAGACATGGAAATGAACATGGACTTAAATAGTATATATGATAACACGTCGGATAATACACCGATCACCAAGAGAGGTAGTGCTTGTTTTTTATAATAAAATTCTACAACCTTACATTAACTCTTTCTTTTCAGATCTCAAAAACTTGGAACAAAAAATGTTAGATGAATTGAAAAAACAGAGAGAAAAATATTGTCTGGTATGTACGTAAGGGGTGATCCATCTAGACAATTTTTATACCTTTCATGAGCATGAAATGGTATTATAACTTTGGTCCGATGTTTGTAAGTACCAGAATAAAACGAGATAGACCCATTAAAATGTATACTTATATGATCAGAACGTCGAGCTGAGTCGATTTAGCCATGTCCGTCTGTCTGTCTGTCCGTCTGTTTGTATGCAATCTAGTCTCTCAGTTTTCGAGATATCCGGATAAAATTTGGTAGGTGGCTGTATTTTTATATTGTATTAATCATTTGTCGGAACCGGAAGAATCGGACCACTATAACATATGGCTCCCATAGAACTGATTGTTCAGATATGAGATTTTTCGTTATAACTTCTCCACTTATGCAGCTAGGAACATGAAATTTTGCAGTACTTGCACCCATTATCAACAGAATACTTACAGTGAAAATTACAAAGGTCGGGTCTCTATAACTTATAGCTCCCATACAACTGATTGTTCAGATATGAGATTTTTCGTTATAACTTCTCCATTTATGCAGCTAGGATCACGAAATTTTGCAGTACTTGCACCC